AGGCACTCCCAGGACATAAGCCTATGAAAGACAGGCTTACTTTGTTGATGTGTTCCAATGCTACTGGTGATTGCAAAGTGAAGCCTTTATTAGTGTATCACTCTGAAACTCCAGACCGTTCAGGCAAAAGAATGTCCTCAAGGAGAATTTGTGTGTGCTGTGGAGGGCAAACAGTAAGGCATGGGTCACTATGGACTTTTTCTATGACTGGTTACACCATGCATTTGCCCCCAATGTGAAAGATTACCTAACTGAAAAGAAATTAGAACTTAAGTGCCTCCTGGTGTTAGACAATGCCCCTGGTCATTCTACAGACGTGGCAGAGCGACTTTATGGGGACATGAAATTCATTAAGGTGAAGTTTTTGCCTCCTAATACCACTCCTCTCCTGCAGCCCATGGACCAGCAGGTTATTGCAAACTTCAAAAAACTGTACACAAAAGCTCTGTTTGAAAGGTGCTTTGTAGTGACCTCAGAAACTCAACTGACTCTAAGAGAGTTTTGGAGAGAGCACTTTAATATCCTCAATTGTGTAAACCTTATAGGTAAGGCTTGGGAGGGAGTGACTAAGAAGACCTTGAACTCTGCTTGGAAGAAACTGTGGCCAGAATGTGTAGACAAAAGGGATTTTGAAGGGTTTGAGGCTAACCCTGAGAGGATTATGCCAATTGAGGAATCCATTGTGGCATTGGGAAAGTCCTTGGGGTTGGAGGTTAGTGGGGATGATGTGGAAGAGTTGGTGGAGGAGGACAATGAAGAACTAACCACTGATGAGCTGATAGATCAACTTCAACAGCAAGAGGCCAGACCTGAGGAAACTGGTTCGAAGGAGGGGAGAGAGAAATTGAAGAAATTGCCTACTACAAAGATTAAGGAAATCTGTGCAAAGTGGCTTGAAGTGCAAACCTTCATGGATGAAAATTACCCTCACACAGCTATTGCAAGCCGTGCTGGTGATTATTACACTGACAATGTTGTGAAACACTTTAGGGAAGTCATAAAGGAACGAGAGGTACAGGCCACTATGGACAGATATGTTGTGCGAAAGAAGTCCAGTGACTCTGAAGCTGGTCCTAGTGGCATTAAAAGAAGAAGGGAAGTAACCCCAGAAAAGGACTCGACACCTCAAGTCTTAATGGAAGGGGATTCCCCTTCTAAACACTAACACTCTCTCTCCCCTCCTCCCATCCCATCAATCATCACCAGATCTTCAATAAAAGTAAGTGTCATGTAATTGTGCATGCCTTTTTCAGTTTGTGTGTATTAAAATTAACATTTCATGTGGTAAAAATTTTTTTTTTCATACTTTTGGGTGTCTTGCACGGATTAATTTGATTTCCATTATTTCTTATGGGGAAAATTCATTCGCATACCGATCATTTCGCATAACAATGAGCCCTCTTGCACGGATTAAAGTCGCTATGCGGGGGTCCACTGTATGTCTTCCATTCTATAAAATGAGACCAGGAAAACTAGAATACAACCAAAAATAGCATACGAAAATACACTGGAAAGCTGCTGTCTTAAACCAAAAACACAGTCAGAGTTTTTTTTTTTCTCATTATGCACTGTGTGCTGCAGGATTTTTTTTATACAGTGCACACTGACCACGTAGACTCATTTTTTCACATGTAGGCCTACCAGCTTTCTCTCGCTAGATTTGAAGGTGCTAGAATTTATGCGTACAAGTACAGCACCAACCCTGGCGTGCAAGCCGTACTAGTACGGCACCAACCCTGAAAGGCTTAATAGAGCACAATTTAATGGACTTTCAAAATACAGAACAAAATCTGCTTGGTCAATCAATTTAGAAACAAGAGACAATGTCTGTTGTAACACAATACAGTATGTATTCCATTATTGTTACAATAATGACAAAACAATCTCTTCTCTATCCACCACACTTATCTACTGAACTGGGAGTTTACTGGACTGTGTGTAACTAGCACTTGCAATTTTATTTTATTTACATGTATATGTAAGTGCATAAAATATTTATGTAATCACATTGAAAAATTCTGAGTGTGTGGGGTGATATATTATGTGGTTTAGTTTCAGACCTGTCAATTTGAAATTGATAGGTAACTAAATTGACTAAACAGTGTTCAATATAATTCAATATAATATACAAGGTGATTCTGTTTTGTTTTGACAAGGTTCGGGGTGTGGATGCTCGTGCAGCTTTCTCGAAGTGACAGTATGGCAGGAGGAAAGTTTTTGTGCTGGTAGAAGCTAATGAAGGTAGTGTGGGTCATTTAAGCCATAACCTCATGTTGTAGAAGAGAGACAGTGAAACTGGTGATTTCTGGGATGTATTCAGTGACTACTGTTATGGAGTTAACCTGAAAAGTGATATGTGGCATGGAAGTGGATGTTTAGTTTCACAGTGTCTGCTCAAGTCTTGTGTATTGCACCAGCACAGGAGTTCTGGGTATATGATGACAAATTATATGTACTGTATTAACCCTTGCAGTGGCCACCGTGTAGATCTAAGTTATTGATGCCAGTGTCCCTCACACAGAGCAATGAATAAATTCTAGTGGTTTCAAATTTAGTGCGAGACACCTGGTAGGTCTACATATGACCTATATGGTCAATGTGTGCTATATACAAATACTAATTGGAGCCCCCATAATGCATTGTGAGAATGCCATATTTAGCACACCTTCATACCACACAGACACAGACACAAAGGCTTCATTTCCAGGTGAATTGAATGAGTTTTATTCCCCAGTGACAGCTTCAATGAGAATTATGGAACTAATGATGAGTTCTTTGGTTTTAAACATATAATGATCGAAAGTGACGCTCAGGGCACAGGAAATATCAATGCATACCTTCTCATTTGAAGTTTGTTAATCACTTTCTGCTACAGAAAAAAAAAAAAGGGCTCAGAAGACATGTTGTTTGTACACACACAACAAGGCACCCAATAAGGCTCAAGAAATCGTAATGACACGATTGCAAACAAACCATGAACCACGGGTTCAATCCGGCCGGGGGTATGGTTCACCCAATAAGGCATAGAAAGATAATTTTTGTGTGTAGAGTGCATAAAACAACACTGAGTATGGAGCAGAATTTAAAGGACTTTCACAGACTGCAATAGCTCTAGGGTCAACGCCCCTGCAGCAAAGTCCTTGACCAGGCCGCAACCACCTGATCAACCCGGCTGTTACTGCTGATCACGTCCAATATACACACAAAAGAAATTGTTGCATGCAGAGATTGTTAACCAAAATGAAGGATTGTGTAACTAATTAGGTGAACCTCAATACAAATACAGTATACTGTACATTGCTTAACATGCAAGTTAGGAAGAGCAGACACAAGAAAAATTAACCAAGCAGCCTCTGTTATCAGTTATGGTATATTAAAATTAAGCGTTATTAAGAAAATACAACAAAGTAAAGATGCATGTTTACAATACATAATGCAAGTAGAAATTTGAAAGATTTACTGGTCATCTTGCATGTTTACCATTTGTAATTTCCCATGCATGCACATGCTTGTAGTGTAAGTTCTCATTTCACACATTTGTGTTTCTCTGTGAAAGATAGTGTACATCAAGGAATAATGATAATCTCCTTTTACATAAGGTATAACTATAGTAAAAATGGTAGCTTCAGTGTGGACATTTTATTATATTTATCAAGTTTTATATCTACACATACATTTTTAAATTATTCAACTATATCCTACCTCTTATTTCAACCTTTACTGCTTCTGGTGCAGTGTACATGTATCTAACTTTCTTTCTCACTCCTAAGCACATCTGTATTTCCAATATCAGCAACACACTTTTCTTTCATGCTTACAAGTGATGGCCAAATTTATTTTATTTTTTAAACAGCTTTGATTACAATACCCAACATTTGTTAACAGTTTTATCTGCCAGCAAATTACTCTGTTAAAGAGAAGTACATCACACTTTAGTGATGTGCTCACATACTATATTAGTATTTACTCTAAAAGGTATCTGAAAATGCAAACACTTACTTGTTTCATAATTCTGAATTTTCTACACATTCTAAAAATCTTATACAGAATGGTCATTTGTCTTGTGTGTCAATAAGTGAGATTTTAGAGTAGATTTCTGAATGGCACGATATGAGCAGAAGGGACATGCATATGGCTTCTCACCAGTGTGTCTACGAATATGAGCTCTTAGAATATTTTTCTGTGAGGCACTGTAAGGACAGTAGGGACAAGCATGAGGCCTTTCTCCAGTGTGAGTATGAATATGCTCTTTTAAAAGATCTTTTCTTGCAGATTTGTAAGGGCAAAATGGGCATGAAAATGGTTTCTCTCCAGTATGTTTCAAGTTATGCCTCTTGAGAGAGTGAATATCAGCTGTATTAAAAGAACAGTGTGAACACTGATGCAGCTTGTTGCATAAGGTGTGACCCTGCCATTCTCCTGTGGTCCTCCTCCCATCAGTCCACTGAGAGTTTGTCTCCCGGTCCATCTGCAGAGGAGGCTTTATCTTACTAGTTATTATATAAATAAAGACAATCAAAAGTGTCCTCATTATTATATTGTTCCTGTCATGAGGTATGAGAGTATCTAAATAAATGATAAGGGATGTCTTCACTAAATTTAAACACAGAAAGTCTGGCTCCGATAAATGTTTGTCATATTTTTTCCTTGAATATATAATTTTATCACCTTTATCTTCATAAATGCAACATTTATTTAAAACTATTCAATTATAGTACCAGAAAAGAAAACAAAAATTAACCATGGTAATAAGCCAGGTCATTATTAGTATATTATTGCAATTGAATGTCGTCAGCAGCAGCAGCAGCAGCAGCAGCAGCAGCCAGCAGTGCAGCATAGCAAGCAAGTCGCAGCAGCAGCGCAGCAGAGCAGCAGCAGCAGCAGCCAGCAGCAGCAGCACGCAGCACAGCACAGCAGCAGCAGCGCAGGCAGCAGCAGCAGCAGCAGCAGCAGCAGCAGCAGCAGCAGCAGCAGCAGCAGCAAGCAGCAGCAGGCAGCAGCAGCAGCAGCAGCAGCAGCAGCAGCAGCAGCAGCAGCAGCAGCAGCAGCAGCAGCAGCAGCAGCAGCAGCAGCAGCAGCAGCAGCAGCAGCAGCAGCGCAGCAGCAGCAGCAGCAGCAGCAGCAGCAGCAAGCAGCAGCAGCAGCAGCAGCAGCAGCAGCAGCAGCAGCAGCAGCAGCAGCAGCAGCAGCAGCAGCAGCAGCAGCAGCAGCAGCAGCAGCAGCAGCAGCAGCAGCAGCAGCAGCAGCAGCGCAGCAGCAGCAGCAGCAGCAGCAGCAAGCAGCAGCAGCAGCAGCAGAGCAGCAGCAGCAGCAGCAGCAGCAGCAGCAGCAGCAGCAGCAGCAGCAGCGAGCAGCAGCAGCAGCAGCAGCAGCAGCAGCAGCAGCAGCAGCAGCAGCAGCAGCAGACAGCAGCAGCAGGCAGCAGCAGCAGCAGCAGCAGCAGCAGCCAGCAGCAGCAGCAGCAGCAGCAGCAGCAGCAGCAGCAGCAGCAGCAGCAGCAGCAGCAGCAGCAGCATTATTATTATTATTATTATTATTATTAACAAATATAAAAGAAAAATATTCCAGGCTCCAAAAGTGATTGTATTAACATAAATGACAGAATACATATATGGTATTTTATGAAGGCAATACAATACATACTTGAATATCAAATTTACATAAAAAGTACGTATACTTATACGTATACAGTCAAACTTGTAACCAAAAAAATCTAATTTTTTGAGCAATTTAATAAGGAAAATTAAGAACACCACATGTGCACCAAATAACTATTAAAAGTTACTGCTTTAAATTAAAAAAAAAAAAAATTTCGTACACTTACCTCGGGATTACACCTCTTGCCCTGTAACTTACAATCTCATCACCCTCTATTATCAACAAGCTTCAAAGTTTCCTCTTCCTGTTTTTCTCAATATCCAAAACAGTACAACTTCCATTCCCACACATAAGACAGCTGCACACTACATAAACATTCACTCTCTCAGATTACCTGCATCTGCTCATTTACTGGTAATCTTTTATTTTTTTTTCTTCTCTGTACCACTTGTAGACTTCCTAGTATGCTCCTAGTCCACTTAATAAAAATTAATGCCTTCTATGAACCAAGGCTTGAAAAAAAAATCGAACAAGAAAATATTTAACCAAAGAAACAAGTATTATAGAACACACTACCTGGGAATACTAAGCTAAACTTCATCAAGGGTTAAAAGCAAACCTTCGACATGACGAACTTTAAATAGGGTTGAGCCGGTAGCTATAGAGTGGACCCCTGGATTAAGACATCATCGGATTAAGTAATGTTTTTGCGTCAAAATATTGGCTCGGTTAACAACACTGAACTCTGTTAAAGTCATTCGTCCTGAACGTGTCCACGTGCCATGAGTGGCCCAGACACTTCATGTACAGCCAGTGTGTCACTGTTTACCAGCCAGTGAGGACAATTCCACGCGTACATGCGATACATTTTGTATTATTCCATTGTTTTTAGTGCTTCTAACTGCTAAATAAGCCAACATGGGCCCAAAGAAAGCTTTTAGTGCCAGCCCTTTGGTAAAGAGGGTGAGAAGCACTATAGAATTCAAGAAAAAGTTTGTAGAAAGATACAAAAGAAGTGGTGGTAGAGGGTGGTAGTGATGGTGGTACACCAGCCAGGGTACTTCCCCACACAGCAGCCAGGGTACTTCCCCACATACAAGCCAGGGTACCTCCCCACATACCAGCCATGGTACTTCCCCATACACCAACCAGGGTACTTCCCCACACACCAGCCAGGGTACTTCCCCACATACCAGCCAGGGTACTTCCCCACATACCAGCCAGGATACTTCCCCATATACCAGCCATGGTACTTCCCCACACACCAGCCAGGGTACTTCCCCACATACCAGCTAGGGTACTTCCCCACACATCAGCCAGGGTACTGCCCCACATACCAACCAGGGTACTTCTCCACACACAATTTTATTTGAGTGGGACTTGCACATGAGTGAATAGAATTATCAAAGCTTATTGCTTGGGAAGCACTGAAAATTGGGTTGGGCAAATACGATTCTGTTAGTGAGATGGTTTGTGAAGGACCTGCCTAGTATGGGCCAACAGGCCTGATGCAGTGTTCCTGCTTTCTTATGTGCAAACATTTATGGATGAACATCACCCTGACACAACTGCTGCAGGCCGTGTTGGCAACATCTACAATGACAATGTTGTGTCCCATTTTAGGGAAATCTTAAAGACATGCCAGAAACAGAGCTCTCTGGACAGATATTTAGTGCCACAGGTGTGCAGTGACTCTCAAGCTGGACCTAATGGCATTAAAAAACAAAGAAGGGAGGGAACCCTGGAAAAGGACTTAGTACCTGAAGTCTTTATGGAAGGGGATTCCCTTTCCAAACAATAGTACACCTTCATCCTCTCCCCTCCTCTTATCTCATTACTCATCAATAAGTCTTCAATAAAGGTAAGTGTCATTTTAGTAATGTTTTACTCTGCATGTATCATTGTTTTCTGTGTATGGAAATGTATATTTCATGTAAAAAAATTATTTTGTTTAATACTTTTGGGTGTCTGGAACGGATTAATTGAATTTCCATTATTTATCATGGGGAAAATTAATTTGGATTAAGTCAGATTCGGTATAAGACTCTCTCTCTCTGGAAAGGATTAATTACATTATCTCGGGGTCCACTGTAATGACTGTGGTGGAGAGATGATATTGTTTTATTGTGTTTATAACACTTAAAATCTGGGTATTCAATACACATTAGTGTATATCACTACTACCGCCTCTTTTTTTTTTCTTTTTTTAAATGGTAAACAACTTGTTACTGCCCATTTGGATCCCCAAATTTGTTTGAGATACACTGGAGCTACAATCCCCTTCCTTGGACCAAACCTGAATACTTCCCATCACCGAAGCACTATATAACCCCTATGGGTTTAGGTCCCATGAATCTAGACCCAGTAAATACAAAATTAAGTATGCATAAAATATTTTGTTTCAGATATAAGTTCATTTTGTGTTTGTTGTAGATGACAGTCCTAAGAAATAAAAATCAAAAAGAAAAAAAGATTTGGGGATGAGAAAGCCATTAAAAGCAAAATGTGAACAAAATCCTATAGTTAGGCTTTAACTTAGGGTATATGCACCAAGCCTAAAAATATTAGGTAGTGGAAGAAAACCCAGCAATAACCCAATACAGTTTATTCAATGATTACTCGTTAGCAAAAACATTGAATAATCAAATTCCATGAATCCGGAACTCTGCTGCATGTACTTCGAACAAACAAAAAATTATATCAACTAATCAATGAAGCATAAGTCATATTTTTGTTAGCACTGAATACAGTGGACCCCCGGTTAACGATATTTTTTCATTCCAGAAGTATGTTCAGGTGCCAGTACTGACCGAATTTGTTCTCATAAGGAATATTGTGAAGTAGATTAGTCCATTTCAGACCCCCAAACATACATGTACAAATGCACTTACATAAATACACTTACATAAATGGCCGCATTGGGAGGTGATCGTTAAGCGGGGATCCACTGTATTATACGTATATATAATTATTCAGATGTACACACAGAAAAAAAAATCAGAAGACGTGAATGATGATCCCTTATGAAATTCAGTTTTCCTTGGGAAGCAAGAGCATCCATATAAATATTTTATTCCTTGGTTACTGGGGACAAGACTGTTTAACCATGTGGGTTCCTAAAAAAAAATGCTACATTAAAAGAATGCACTATTACATACAAACTTATGGGTCAAGGCTAGATTAAAAATATTCTGGCTAAAACTGGATACATATTCTTTCTTAGTAAAATAATAATATACTGAATATCTCAACAGTCGTCAAATATAGCTCATAAGAAAGGTGAGGTTCGGTTAAGCTGACATAGGGTGGAAGAATTAGTTTAGGGGAAGAGAGGGGAAAAATTAATTTTATATTACATCCACATTCTTTTTCCGTATTGTTTTTAATGGGCATACAAGACATTAATTTTAAAATTTATAGCACTCTGTTTTAGCATCATTACAGAAAATTTCTAAGATTGCTCCTGAGATTGCTACGAATATACTCGAGTATAGGTTGAGGTTTTAAGACCAAATTTTTAAGCAATAAGCATGGTTTGAATTGCTCATTAATAGTACTTTTGAGAGGTTGAAATTTATATATGTTGAAGGCCTACCACACACCAGCTTCCTTTTTCTTAGATGTATCAAATTTAAAACCACACTCAGTAACTACATTCTACCTTAACCCTTTCAGGGTCCAGAGGCCAAATCTCAAAGGGTGCACCAGGGTCCAAGAGTTTTTGAAAAAAAAAATCTTACAGAATTAAAGATAATAATTTTCTGTAGATAATAAAACCGAGATATAGAGGCTTGAAGCTGACCCCTCAATGACCTGGTGGCAGCAACATCCGTGACTTCCGTAAGCCTCATTATTTTATTTTAGGTTTTTGTTATTTTCTTTTCTTTTCTAATATTTTTTTTCCAGTAACTTCTGTGGCCTGTGAGACCAATATAATGTATAATGTATAAATGTACATTCATTGTATTCAACACAATAACTGTACTAATTTGTCATTATACATGTATTCCTTACATAACTTGTTTACAAGTTTATTGTAAGCAAAATAATGATGAAAATATTAGTGTGGTTGTGTTGAGTACAATGGTACCATATAGTGCCATAGGGTACAATGATACCATAGGGTGCAATGGTACCATATGGTACAATGTACCATAGGGTGCAATGGTACATGGTACAATGTATCACAGGGTGCAATGTACCATATGATACAATGGTGCCATATGGTACAATGGTGCCATATAGAACAATGGTATCATGTTACAGTGGTACCATATGGAACAATGGCACTAAATGTTGCAATGGTAACATATGGTACATTGTACCATATGGTACAATACATTATGGTACATTGTACCATATGGTACAATGATGCATTATGGTACATTGTACCATATGGTATGATACATTATGGTACAATGTACCATATGGTACAATGATGCATTATGGTACATTGTACCATATGGTATGATACATTATGGTACAATGTACCATATGGTACAATGATGCATTATGGTACATTGTACCATATGGTACTATATGGTACTGCTGTATTCAACACAATAACAACACTAATATTTTCATCATTATTTCATTTACAATAATTGTTTACAACAAAAAAATGTAAAAATGT